CTGCTATCTCTCTCTTCTCTCTCTCTCTCTCTCTCTCTCTCTCTCTCTCTCTCTCTCTCTCTCTCTCTCTCTCGCTCTCTCTCTCTCTCTCTCTCTCTCTCTTCTCTCTCTCTCTCTCTCTCTCTCTTCTCTCTCTCTCTCTCTCTCTCTCTCTCTCCTCTCTCTTCTCTCTCTCTCTCTCTCTCTCTCTCTCTCTCTCTTCTCTCTCTCTCTCTCTCTCTCTCTCTCTCTCTCTCTCTCTCTCTCTCTCTCTCTCTCTCTCTCTCTCTCTCTCTCTCTCTCTCTCTCTCTCTCTCTCTCTCTCTCTCTCTCTCTCTCTCTCTCTCTCTCTCTCTCTCTCTCTCGCTTTTTCTGTCCTTATCTCTCTCTTTTTTGATGGCGCTTCCCTCTGTCTCTCACTTTACCCACATCCTTTCCTTGTTCACTCCTCCTGTCTTTCCGCTGCTCCTCTCCTCTCTCGCTTTCTCCCTGTGCTCTAGCCAGTCGTGTGTCGCACCTGTACGCTGGTACGCCATGGTAGGCTGGCCCGCAGCGGCGCCGCGCGTGCCGGGCTGCCTCCACTCAGCCTTTAGGCGCTGGACGCCAGCCAATACCAACGCGGCATTTGTTTTGGGCCAGGGAACCGCGGCAGAACGAGAGACAGGTAGCGACGTCACAGTGCGGACAGATACAGTAACTTCTTCGGCTGGACAGCGTGCAGGCGTCTTGCATGAATCATACACGTGCCCGGGGCTCGAATTCTGGCTCTGCCGTGACCCCGCATCTCTTATATGGCTAGTGCAGTCGCTGGCGACACATAAAAGAGGCGTGATGACGTGCGCCGCCTTCCTTTTTATAGAAACATGGTCTGACCATCCGTGGGTTCAAGGCCATACAGGTCAGTGTGCGTGTGGAGGCTCAGCTCCGTCTTGGCGCGGCGGTGTGCGCTGTCCATTTCGTCGAGGAATTTTCTGTGGGTTCAGTTTTCATTTATGGTCATGTAACAGCGGCTTCTTTCATTCACATCAGTAATGTTGGTCTATATGCTGAAGCCGTGTTTGCACGTTTCCTTCCATGCACACCACGTAAGGCATCACCCATTCCGCTCCATCAGGGCCGGCCGTGCGTCAGTGATCGTCTGCTGGGTGTCAGCTGTCGGCTTCACTGGCCGCACACCCGGAACCCCGCTGGCCGCACACTCTGACCCCCGCTGGTGGCACACCCGAACCCCCGTTGGCCGTACAACCGGACCCCGCTGGCCGCACACCTGGACCCCCGCTGGCTGCACACCCGGACCAACGCCGGCCGCACACCCGGACCAACGCTGGCCGCATACCTGGACCCCCGTTGGCCGTACACCCGGACCCCTGCTGGTCGCACACCCTGACTCCCGCTGGTGGCACACCCGGACCCCCGTTGGCCGTACAACCGGACTCCGCTGGCCACACACCTGGACCCCCTCTGGTCGCACACCTGGACCCCCGTTGGCCGTACACCCGGACCCCCGCTGGTGGCACACCCGAACCCCCGCTGGTGGCACACCCGGACCCCCGCTGGTGGAACGCTCGGACCCCCGCTGGTCGCACACCCGGCCCCCGCCGCCGTCGGCTGCCTTGCCTTCTCCTCCCTCGCACGACGCGCTCCCAGGCCTGATTTCCCGCCGGACCCCGGCTGACCTGCGAGGGAGTCATCAATCCTCGGATGACGTCACACCCGCGTTGACGTGACGTCATAGAAGAGCTCGTGGCGGTGCTGTGGTTCGCTGGGGACCCGCTGCTGCCGTCGGTGTGTGAACTTAGTGCACGGTGTTGCTCATGTACTGGCGGAGCCCTCCCAGGGTGCGACTTCTGAATGATGTCCACGAGCACTTTGGCATTGATGCGGCGTTGTCTGAAGGACTTTGGTATATTATCTACTACGCAACAAAAACATGGAACCACAGTTGTCAACGCAGAAATTATCGGCTCTCTGTTGAAGCTTTCCCAACTGTATCCTCTTCGCCTGTCTCCAGACATTTTGCGATAAGCGCGTGGATTAAATCGTAACATTTTACCAATGTGTTGATTGATATATAACATGTGGCATATTACTGATGGTCATTCAGATGCCATAACGTCTTACCACAACGATCTTAGGAACGCCAACAAGGCAGTACATCGCATGCCAATGTATGAAGCAAGGGTTCACATGCCTCCGACCCAGCCGGCGTCGGGTCAAACCGCCGCTGACCTGTCCTCCTGCTTCTCCTGCTTCCCTTCTCCTCCTCCTCCTCCCCCTCCTCCTCCTCCTCCTCAGCTGGCGTCCTGTGGCCGCTGGCCGGCGAGTCCCGCGTGCTCTGCCTCAGCGGGACAGCTGACGTGGCGTACCGTCCTGTTTCAGACGAAGCGGAGCTGCCGGAGGCGGGCCGCTTTCGGCGGGACCTGCCCCGGAGGCACACGATCTCGGGCTCGCGACCCGTGCTGCGCCACTCGGACGCCATGGACCTGGACGTGAGTAGGCTGGTGGGGAGGACACGAGCCCGGCGATGCTAGAAGTCGGCTGGGTCGGCTAGATTAACACGCGTTTTGAACTCGATGTAGCGTTTGTTCGCTTAGCCAGCTGATGTACATTGGAGGTGCGTGAGTAGGTTGCGAGAAACCTTTCGGTCTGGAGTGAAATTAGCCTCCTTTTCCACTCCGATTCCTCGTGTCATTAAAAGGCCACGAGACGCCGGCTGGCACCTGCCTGTGGTGCATACCTGGCATCCGCTATCCCACGTCCTACCGCTACCGACACACAACACGTTCATGTAGTCGTCACTTGGTGGATTCCCCCTCACTACGTGTCGTACAGTGCACGATTGGGGTTTCACTGTACCCTGATTGGGGTTTCATTGTACCCTGATTGGGATTTCACTGTACCCTGATTGGGGTTTCACTGTACCCTGCTTGCAAAATTCACGATGCAGCCTCTTTGGCGTGACAGAACATGCGTGACAGCATGGCGTGATGGCGTGGCTGGAAGTTTTCATTTGTGATCGTCAGAAATTTGTTGCGCCTATGAGGCATGGAAAGCACCACACAAAACTAGATCTCACAAAATTATTGATGCAAATATTTGGCTATTGACAACACGTGGCGATACAACCTTACATTTCTGTTGTCTAATTGCAATCCAACTGTGAATATGTGCCGTGGGGAATTTGAGCATTGTATTTTCATAGACAGCGCAATCTAAACAAGGCTGTATGGTTACGGTTGACAGGTATTGATCGACGCACCAATTGACACGTAGGTCATCAGGTTTTCGTTCTAGCCATCGTTAAAAACACACAACCTCCAACTATATGATGATGGCCGTCATTTGGACCGTGGAGCATGGCATACAGAGTAGCTTTTCTGGCCTAGGCTGACAATGTTGAACGACGTCTAATTTAGTCTGACAGACTTAGCTGACATGTTCGATCGCATAATTAGCAAGTCAGCCCAAGTGAGGCTTCGCCTGGCGTTCGGCAAAAGTCCCATCTTGCTCCCAAACGCATGGCAACGGCTGCTGAGGTAATCCGTCTTGCCAGGCGGTGTATAACACAACCCAGTTCACCATCTCGGGACACGGAGGTACCAGGAACAACAGATCCCGTGCCATGCCGTTTCAAATCGCCGTGTCCATCAGTCGTTGTTTGTTGACAAAGAGTGCAGCTGGCCGAGCCGACCAACAGGCGGTGTGGTCGGCGGCATGCGTGTGTGGTCAGTACAGCTGCAGCAGCCTCGTACCCAGCTGACGGTACGCTGTTGGCGACTGATCGGCGTCCCTGCCCTGCTCCCACTCTCCGGTACTCGCACCACCACCATCGTCGCGAGCATGGCGCATTACTAACGAGCGGCGCGGCGCGGCTCTGCCGGCGCCAGCACCCGCTGACGGCCCGTGCCCGTCCTGTCCCGTAGAGTAACAAGAGCTCCTCGGACTCGGAACGCTCCGGGCAGTCCCAACAGCGCGGCTACCCGCCGGCCAAGCCGGAGAGGCGTAGCTTCCCAATCTTCTCTGGCGGCCGAGCCAACAGCGCCAGGCAGCAGGTGAGGGGCCAGTAGTAGGCCGGGCGGCAGGTACGTACGGTACAGCTGCCTACGAACGAGAGTGCAGAAATCAGAGTACCAGGCAGCTGGTACGGGAGAAACACCGCTTCAGAGAGCAGGTAGGAGAGAAACACGGCTCCATACACCTGCAGGGGAGGAACACAGCCTCAGACAGCAAGTGCGGGTGCCCAGCAGTGCCAGGCAGCGGGCACGAGCAACGCGAGACAATGTGTATGAAGAGTAAACAGTTCAAGCGAATGGTACCTGGAGCCAACAATATCAGAAAGCCGGTACGGAAAACGGATTATTCCAGACAGGAGGTACGGAGAACAGACTACTCCAGACAGAAGTACGGAGAACAGACTATTTCAGACAGCAGGTACGGAGAACAGACTACTCCAGACAGCAGGTACGGAGAACAGACTACGGGGTGCCAGTGGTGCCAGGCATCAGGAATATTTTTCAAACAAGCTGTGCTACCGGGAAAAAATGAAGGAGAACATAAGTGCAACTTACTCGTGGCAGAGACGCTGGCAAAGGGGATCCAGGGGTGCATTATGCAGCCCGGACGCACGACGCGCCGTCGTACAGAGATCGTTATTACTTTCGTATCTGCTTACCCATGACACATATACTCTATTTTGATATTTGATCGTCAACCATATCCGATGATTTGTTAGAAAACTGGGATCATTGACGAGACACCAAACTGCGTCTCAACGCCGGCCATGGCTATCGGCCACGCACGGGTAATAGGTGGCGCTACTGCATGCCGAGTCCGGCCGAGTCCGAAACCGTCGCTTAGCGTGATTCTGTCAAAACATAGCTAGGACAGCTCGATTGCAAGTTTGCTCAAGTTTTCTGGGATGTCGAACCAGCATTGTCGCCATGCCGTGTAAACATATCCAAGGACAATTGTTCGTGCTAGCGTCAGTTAAAACTCCCAAGCTTACATCCGCCGCCCGCTCCCGGCTGCACTGGAGGCGCTGTAGGTCACCCGTTTATGGTGCATAGGTCCCTTACCTGCGCCTGGAAGCAGACACAATGCGCATACCTCTGCGAAGTCTGAGTCTCATTTATATAGACTGAAATGAATATTATATTACGTAACAGATGTCATCCAAACACATTGCATTCCATTCTAAACCAGGTAATCGTTGTCAACATCCAGCTGGCGGTGACTTACGCCAGCTCCGGTGCCAACAATCCCCCGGTAGAATGCTCGAGAACAATAGTTGAAGAATAGCCCTAAAGATGGCATCCAAAATGAAATTGCTTGTGCTCGTAACATTGAAAAATGGGTTAGCACTGGAAAATATCTGGCATTATTTGTCATAGTTTACAGCAGATGACCTTGATAAAACGGTAGCGTACTTAACATCATCAAAGTCTGCTTGTCTGCTGCACGCTGCCGTTTAAAGGCAAAACCCACTATGTTCATGTCTAGTCATTTGTAGTGTTTAAAGTCACTTGATTCGTCTTCTCATGCTGTATTTAATTGCTTGAGCGATTGGTTGAAATTTTTACAGATTTTAAGCCTTTCCTTTGGGCAAAAGCTTGTAAAAATTCCAACTAATATTTTCAATAACCAGTTAAGTTTGAGAAGATTAATCAAATGACATCAAAAATACAAAACAGTAAAAAGAAATACATCGGGTTTTCCCTTTGGACGGCAGCACTACCTCCGCTGACGTTTGTTTACAAGAAAAGAGGATTTCGTAAGCCAGAGATGGCCTGCCTTCGGCCATGCGCTGGAGCACTTGCCAATGTATTTACGAATGCTTGGTATACAGCAAGGCTGGGTATGCAGTGACTGTCGGTGCTTTGGTAATGGACATCTCATAGGAGACGCGAAAGGCTTGTGGTCATTTCGAAATATTCGTCCGTTTGAAATTGTCCACTCAGTTATCTGGGTTGGTCAGAATAGCTGCCTTCCAAACCACCCATGCGTGGCGGGTTAGGTTCGAGCCGCTTCAGGCGGCCGCTGTTACCCCTGATTAAGATAGTCGCGCGGTTGGTGTCAGCGGCCGCGACTATAGGCAGGTGATCTCAGAGGGCAGACGGGCCTTGCCGTGCATTGTGGCACGCTTAGGCTTCGTGGCTAGAAATCTGCAGTTGACCCGAAATTCACGATGGGATGGTGGGGTTAGGGTCTCACGCTACAAGCACTGCTTTGCGTGGGCACCGATCCTAGAACTCCATGCAATCAAAAGGTTTGGGCGAAGGCTTTAGAAAATCCGGTGAATGCGGGAAGGCAGGTAAATACGCTTATTACAGGTACCCACATGCCTATACTTATCAGTTTTATGTTACCAAAATTCACCCCTTCATCGGAATTTTTGCCTACGCCACTGGTACATGGATTTAATTGATAATGTATTTTAGATAAGCTGATATTTCTGGAGACAAGACCGGGTGTGCTGCTGCATTATGTATGTATCGCGGCCGTACATAGTATGCAATATATATATATATATATATATATATATATATATATATATATATATATATATATATATATATATATATATATATATATTTATTTATATATATATATATATATATATATTATATATATATATATATATATATATATTATACACTTGTTAGAAAATGCAACACCAGAAAGGAAATAGGTGAAATAAAATTCAGTAAGTGAATGGCAGTGGACTCATTTACATACGCAGACAGATCATTTGAGCTGCTTTAATGGCTTCAACTTTAAGTCGTATTGACAGTCTATTAAGTGAAATGCGTGCTGTCGTCATGCTTGCTTTATTAGAAGCTACCGGTGGTTTTACCACATCTGCCAAACACCACCGACTGCCCGAAGATCAAATGTTGGATGACGTACCGTGTCGGCGCATTTTAAACATCTCCTTTGACATGACATGACATCAAACGTGGTTTTTGAAACGACGAAATCCATCATCAGTTGAAAATGTGTCAGCTTATCCATATTTCACTGCAGTGGTCACACCAATACTGAGCATTGATCCACCATTCAACAGCCAGTCAGGTACCCCAGGCAACGTCCAAGTGGCCTATTCGTCCTGATCGCCCGATGCACGCAAACAAAACGGCCCCTGCGATGTCAGGATCTGCTGTCGTGCTGCGATTCGCGACTGTTTGACACAGAAATACGGAACAACGGGCTGACAGGTGCCAACGCTTATCGCACAGAAAGTCCCTTGCTTTTGTGTCAGCGGGGAAAGGCCGGAGGAAGACTTATTTGAGAAGTTAAGACAGTGTCACTTGGTTGAAAGCCTCGGGGTACAACCAACAGACCCGCTGAGCAAGCACTCTAATCCAAAAGCTACCCGCTCAAATCGATGGTAGCAAATTGCGTCAATTTTCAAAAAAGAAATGAAATACTGCCGTGTCTTACCGACAGCACATACATAAACTGCGATGGATCAGACATAACTATTTTCAAGTTGGCATTGCTAGCGTGCGCTCCCTGCTATTTGATTCGCGCATGTTGAGTGAAGCGTGTTGCGTGATCTAAGTAGTCGTGGAACCCTTTATCGTATGCAGCGTTCAATAAATGGATGTTCCGTCGAATCGCCTTGCAGCTGGCAAACACCTATCGCGGTGTTCCCACTAGTCCTATCACCAGCCGTCGACTGCCCAAGGCAACGGTGTAGACCTGCTCAGACCGAGCATTCGGAATCACCAGACTGTCTTTAGACGAAAGGTTCAAAAGCGCAAGGATCACCGCGTGCCAAGCCACTAGAATTCAATGACGGGCGGGTCTGTCCGCGGAAACTGAGTGATGTTTGACTCACTATCTAACTGATGTCATCATTTCCCGGCAAGCGCCGCGTCCATCAGTAGACCTTATCGTGCGCCACGTTGGGGTGCTCAAGTGGGAGACGAGCATGCCTCAGCCTCTGAAACGTCTTCTTGTCCGCGCTCTGGTCTGATGCGGCACGGGGCGCTCTCGGCGTCCGTACGGCTCGCCCGACACCTCGCCGCATGATGAGCGCGCCGCCGACAGACACGGGACGCTCTCGGCGTCCGTTCGGCGCGCCCGACACCTCGCCGCATGATGAGCGCGCCGCCGACAGACACGGGACGCTCTCGGCGTCCGTTCGGCGCGCCCGACACCTCGCCGCATGATGAGCGCGCCGCCGACAGACACGGGACGCTCTCGGCGTCCGTTCGGCGCGCCCGACACCTCGCCGCATGATGAGCGCGCCGCCGACAGGCACGGGACGCTCTCGGCGTCCGTTTGGCGCGCCCGACACCTCGCCGCATGATGAGCGCGCCGCCGACAGACACGGGACGCTCTCGGCGTCCGTTCGGCGCGCCCGACACCTCGCCGCATGATTAGCGCGCCGCCGACACAGTTGTGGCGTCTGTCTGTCACGTGACGCGCCGTCTGTTCCGATTAGGGTCTGGGCGTGTGTCACGTGATGCACGCGTCTGCTCTGATTAGAGGCGGGCGCCACGGTAGCCGCCCTCGGCCAGCTGTCTGATAGCCAGTGGCGGGAGCGCCGGCCGACAGACGAGCGTCGGACGCCGAGTGACCGCCGCGCGCCACCCGTCGCACCGGTCCGCGACGCCAGACGCCCGGGGCGCTGACCCCGTGACCCAGAGGCAGCATCGCCGGTGCCGGCGCGTTCTACCGGCCTGGGGCTCGTGCGGACGGCTGTGAACAGGCTGCGGTGTTAGCTGTGATCCGATA